TTTCTCAAACAGACTTCCTTGTGATGTCTGATTTCTTTCCAGTGTGGCTGAAACCATCTACTTGCACTATTTCGGTCCTCTTAAGTTTATTGAGATTTGCTTTGTGTTGTAACATGTAGTCTGCCCTGGGGAGAATGATCCATAAGGAAATTGAGAAGAATATGTATTCTGCTATTGTTGGATGGAGTGTTCTATATATGTCTCTTAGAGAGAATTAAAGAATTCTCTCGATCTTTTGTCTAGTTACTCTATCCATATCAAAAGTGGGTTGTTGAAGTGTCCAACTATTATTGTTGAATTGCCTAGTTTTCACTTTAGTTTGACAGTTTTTACTTCATATATTTTGGAGCTCTGTTAGGTGCATATATGTTTGTAATTTCCCTCCATCTGTTGTTTATTGCATCCAGAAATTTTGATGTGCTTTGTTTTTAATTTCTCAGTTCAAAAATCTTATATACTTGCTATTTCTTTTTTGACTCACGATTTATTTATTTATTTATTTATTTTGGTATCATTAATATACAATCACATTAGCAACATTGTGGTTACTAGATTCCCCCCATTTTCAAGTCCATGATCTATTTATAAATATATTTTTAAGTTTCCAAATATTTGGTACATTTTTAAGATATTTTTGTTTTTGATTTATAACTGTGGCCAGAGAACATTATTTCTAAGATTTCAGTCTTGAAATTTATTGAGATTTACTTTATAGCTCATCATATGGTGTATCTTGGTGAACACTCCATATGAAATTGAAAAATATGTGTTTTCTTCATCTGTTGTATGAATGGTCAGTTTTAAAAGTTCATTATAGGTTGACTGCTCCAGCTCTTTCAGACCTATTAAATAGACCTTTTACAGCTCACTGTTGGAAGGGACAAAAACCCTTAATTTTCCAACTGCCTTCTTTAAATGATCTTGAAATGTCTTTCTTTCCAGTGAAACTCTGTTATTTTTTAGTTCAGAGGATTTGTCTCCTAAGCTTTCCCAGAACCTTCTTCACTCTCTCCTTGCAGTGATCTAGTATTTTATGTGTACACTATGCTAGATTTTTTTATTCTTACAGGCAGAGATTGTCTTTTCCTTACCATTCTAGTAGCAGGTGACTAATAAGTATTTAAATTTTAATGAGCTGAACTGTGTAAGACTGGACTGCTTATATGTCCTTAGTCTTTTAAGTACTACTTTATATCAATATATTACTTCATATAATATATTTTATAATTTACATTTAATTATTTTGGGTTTGAGATATGTTCACTGATATTTCTGAATAAACTTACTAAAATTATTTGCAGAAATTGACTAAAAATAACTTACTCTTTGAAAAATTCCCTCATGCATTTGCTATATGGGAATTTCCCTTTTCTAAGCAGTGCTGTGCTGAAGAACAAAAGAAAAAAGGCAAAATTTATGTACCCTAATAAGGTAATTAAGTAAATGTAATATAAGCCTTGAATGATAAATCCCTTTAGAATTTAACATTGATTCTTTAGAAGAAAAGCAGTATTTATTTTATTGGGGAATGACAACTTAAAACTGGACACCATTTGGTGACTGGGGGGAGAAATTATTTGAAAAGGCATTTTAGGACTCCTTTTGTGAATCCTTTGAGTTTGGGGTTTTTTGTTGAAGTAAACTACATGTATATATATGTATGTAACTGCTTTATATATATAAAGTACATTTTACAGATATTATATACATGTATGTATATATATGGTATCTATAGTAAAAGGTTTTTTTCTGTGACTGTCATGTTGAATAATAACACTTGAATTAACTAACTTCCTTTTCTTTAAGTATAGTTTATATACAATCTTATATTAGTTTAAGGTATGCAACACAGTAGCTCAGCAGTTACCTATATTATTAAATCCTTACCCCCACTACTGCAATTACTATCTGTCAACATGGAAGGATGTTATAGAATTATTGGCTATATTCTCCATGCTGTACTACCATCCCTGTGACCAACCTCTATTATGTTTGAGCATTTTTGTACCCTTTTATGCCCCTCATCCTTTCCACCGGTCCACCCACCCACCCCGACCCCTCCCCTATGGTAATTTCCAAGTCACCTCTTGGTGTCTATGAGTCTGCTATTTTGTTCATTTAGTTTTGCTTTTTTTTTTAATACCAGAAATATGTGAAATCACATGGTGTTTGTCTTTTTCAGCCTGGCTTATTTCACTTAGCATAATACCCTCTAGATCCATCCATCCATGTTGTTGCAAATGGCAGCATTTTATGGCTGTATAATATTCCATTGTGTATATGTAGCACATCTTCTTTATCCATTCATTTATTGATGGACATTTTGGTTGTTCCATTTCTTAGCTATTGTAAAAAGGTAGTGATAAACAGGAGTGCATGTGTCTTTTCAAATCAGGGATTCTGTTTTCTTTGGGTAAATTCCTAGAAGTCACTGGGTTGGATGGTATTTCTGTTTTTAGTTTTTTAAGGAACTTCTGTACTGCTTTCCACAGTGGCTGCACTTGTTTACATTCCCACCAACAGTGTAGGAGAGTTCCCTTTTCTTCACATCCTCACCAACACTGGTTATTTCTTGTCTTTTGGATAGTGGCCATTCTAACTAGTGTGAGGCAATATCTCACTGTGGTTTCATTTGCATTTCCTGATGATGAGGAATGTGGAGCATTTTTTCATGTGCCTGTTGGCCATCTGTGTTTCTTCTTTGGAAAAATATTCAAGTTTTTTGCCCATTTTTTAATCAGGTTATTTGGTATTTTTTGGGGTTGAGGCATATGAGCTCTTTATATATTTGGCTGTTAACCTCTTATCAGATAAATTGCTTATGAATATGTTCTTCCTGTATACTGTAGGTTGCCTTTTTGTTCTGCTCATGGTATCCTTTGCTGTGCAGCTTTTTAATTTGATGTAGTCCCACTTGTTAATTTTTTATTTTGTTTCTCTTACATGGGGAGATGTGTCCAGGAAAAAATTGCTTGTGCTTATTCAAGAGATATTTGCCTATGTTTTCTTCTAAGAGTCCTATGGTTACATGTCTTACATTTAAGTCTTTAATCTATTTTGAGTTTACTTTTGTGTATGGAGTTAGACAGTAATCCAGTTTCATTCTCTTGCACATATCTGTCCAATTTTACCAACACCAGTTGTTGAAGAGGCTGTCATTTCACCATTGTATATCCACAGCTCCTTTACAATATATTAATTGGCCATATGTATATGGGTTTATATCTGGGTTCTCTATTCTGTTCCATTGATCTGTGTGTGGGTCTGTTCTTGTGCCACTATCATACTGTTTTGATTACCATAGCTTTGCAGTATAACTTGCAGTCAGGGAGCATAATCCCCCCAGCTTTGTTCTTCTTTCTCAGGATAGCTTTGACTATTTGGGGTCTTCTGTGGGTCCACATGAATTTTAGAACTATTCTAGTTCATTGAAGAAATTTTGTTGGTATTATGATAGGGATTGCATTGAATCTGTAAATTGCTTTGGACAGGATGGCCATTTCAACAATATTAATTTTTCCTATCTGTGAGCACAGGATAGATTTCCATTTATTAGTGTCTTAATTTCTCTCATGAGTGTCTCAGTTTTCAGAGTACAGGTCTCTCACCTCCTTGGTTAGGTTTATTCCTAGGTATTTTATTCTTTTTGATGCTGTTGTAAATGGAATTGTTTTCCTGATTTCTCTTTCTGCTAGTTTGTTTTTAATATATAGGAATGCAGCAGATTTCTGTGTATTAATTTTGTATCCTGCATCTTTGGTGAATCTGGTTGTTCTAATAGGTTTTTGGTGCAGTCTTTAGGGTTTTCTATATCTAATATCATGTCATCTGCAAATAGTTTTTTTCCCCTTACCAATTGGATGCGTTTTATCTCTTTATCTTATAAAGATACAACTTCTAAAGCTTCTTTTTGATTAGTGAAGACCTTACCTGTTGCTAGAAATTTATGGACTTTTAGGAGTTTAGAGCCCTCAAATACAGTTAGACCGTTCTTTGAGTCCATTCATTGGTGTAAGTAGCTTTATTATTTTCTGTACTTTGTAGCTTTTTCTAATTCTTTTTTCATTTTGAGCCTCAGGATGGTAAGATGAATGTATTTATATAGGTGAAATTACACAGTTAAGTGACTATAGCTTAGCTGTGATTGAAATAGAATTTGAATTCACATCACTTAATTCTTCGTTTACTAGTTTTTATGTTTTCTTTCACAGATTCTAATTCAGGCCATGTTTTTTGTTTGTTTGTTTGTTTGGTATCATTAAAAAACAATCAGGAGCAACACTGTGGTTACCAGATTCTCCCCAATATCAAGTCCCCACCCCTTCAGGCTGTGTTCTTAACTATTTCTAAGTCTTAGGACAATTTGCCAGCCATTAATTTTCTCATCCATAAAATGAGTGAGTTTAGGTAGATTGCCTCATATTTTCTTTCTGATATGAATTTAGTTATTAAAGCATCATTATGTATGGGAGGATCAAATCTCACAAAAAGATCAGCCACTCTTGTTATACTTGTATGTGACTGCTGATTATTAGAATCATGCTCATGGAATTCATTCATTCATTGAGGGTTTTTTCCACTAAATTGTGAGCTTCAGAAGGCAAAAACCTCCCCTTCTTTTTTACTCTTTACTAGGTGCTTACCTAGCCCAGTGCTTTGAATTTGAAAAGTGTTCAGTAAATACTTGTTGAGTGAATGAATGAATGTAATGTTGGCATTGGGTGGAGGCAATGTAGTGCTGTGGACAGAGCGTGCACACTCTTGGTGTTACTTCTAGTTATTAGATCACAGGATATATTTCAGAAGTTGTTGGGAAAGTTACCTGGGAAGTTTATAAGTTTATAGCATAATGCCTTTCACTTAAGTGTTAGTTTCTTATATCATTTCCCTAGAGACCTGGACTTTCTTAAAAAACCGAGAGATTTTTATTATATAAGCTGGCACATAGGGGTTAGCTAGGTTTAATTTTTATAATCTTTATTATTATTTTTCTCTTATAGTTTTACATGTGTCACCCATAAAAGATGAGGCTGAGATCACGGAAAGCTTCTCAGCAATCAAATCAAATCCAAACACAACGCACTGCCAGAGCAAAGAGGAAATATTCAGAGGTTGATGATAGCTTGCCTTCAGGAGGAGAAAAACCACCGAAGAATGAAACTGGCTTGTTATCTTCAATTAAAAAGTTCATTAAAGGAAGCACACCGAAGGTAGTGGTTTTACTTTGTACTTAAATCATTAAAATTGAAGTTACATTGTTTTTTTTTAAGTGTGTAAACGTGAGAAATCTAATACTGCTAGCGCCTATTTTAAGGGAATGTCTACATCTTGCTGTTATTTTAAGAGTATTAATATGTAAAATACTTAGTGGCCATTCAGGAAAACATTGTTTATTCTGCTTAACTGTTCCACTTAGCCTTCTGTTTTTCAGCATAATAATATGGGAACTTTTTACTTGTTCTTTTACTTCGTTTTTTTTTTTTCATTTCTAAAAAAAAGTCTTGTTAATATTATTAATATATTACCGAATAAGGGAGATAATTCCTCTTATCTATCTGAATTGTAGCATTTGTGCAGTAAAAAATGTGTTATTTCATTAAGTAGGAAAAAAAGTTACTGAAGAAAGAATGGGTACTCACCAGGGTCATGTTCCAGATTCATATTCTGGATCAACTTTAGTGATCTGAGGAAAGTCATGTACCCCTCTGAGCCTCAGAAAGACAGTAAAATGGGACTAAGGCTGACAACTTTGTTTGCCCTCAGAGTTGTTTTCAGATTAGATAGCCAACAGGTGGAAAAACAGTTTGAGAAATTTTAATACAGCTTGTAAATGGATAGTCTTACTGTTCATTATATGTATATATTTTCATCATTTACTACTTTTGTGTTCTTTCTTGGAGTTATTATAAATATGGTATATATATATATTTTTTTTTAGTTTAGTTTTTTTTTTTTTTTT